CAAACCTCTTCTTGTTCGGAGTATACATTAACTACACGCGCATGTATGTTTTAATGCCAGTTTCCAACCTCCTACAGGATAAAATTTGATTTCCCTGTAGGAAAGAATTAATCTATTAAAACAAGTTGTATATTTCCCTATAAGGGTAGATTTTAACGAATGAATTTTTGTTACCGCTTAAAGTTTGTTAAAGCCTTCCTGAAGTCTTTTTTCGCATATGATTGAATTTTAAGTTCAGTGCTAGTTTCATTAATTCGTTGAAAATTTACTTGTTTAGTGTAAGTAATGTACCGTGTATTTTTTACTAAAGAATAGCATCTAAATAGTTATCAAGAATTCCCTAATGAGACAAAGAGCGTTTCCCTTCTATACTATTTGCATGTATATATTTTCTATATGCATTTTATAAAAAGATGCAAAAATTTTAAAGATTCATTTAGAATATAATTATGAAAAGTTTACATTTTCAACCCAAACGTTATAAATCATGCAAGGGACATAAAATTTGGTAAAGAATTTGTATAAACTGTTTAAAATGAGAGTTTCCTCTCTTTGATTGTGCATTTTGTTTTATTTCCTATAACATTTTGAGTGGATAGTATGTGCAATTATTAAATATCGAGAATAACATGTCATCAAATTGTTGAGTAAAATATCAATTTGAGAGATTTAGACAGCTGCATATCACATTATTACATGTATCTACATTATTATTTCCTTAATTTTTAATTACATGGTTTTAGTTTTATGGTAAATACAATGACCTTTTCAGCAAATACAATTTATCATTGGGTCAAATGCTTACTGACATTTTCCATACTAATTTTAAGTCCAACATTTTACACTGAATTGACGAAAGATTTTTTCCGTTATTTCCCGATCATGATATATATAAGGGGTGCTCACTCTTCCATGGCACCTGATCCCTCCTCTGATGTTTTGGAGGTCCGTGTTTGCTCTGCTTCTATTTTGTTTTGTTTACTGGACTTTTGAGTTTGAATACTGTTCGTTATCTCCATAGTTTCATTACATATTACAACAAGCGTCGGATGTGATCGGTCGGCAGGGAATGCTAACTCCTCCATGGCACCTGATCCCACCTCTGACATTTTGGAGGTCCGTGTTTGCACTGCTCCTATTTTGTATTGTTTTATGAACTTTGATATAGAATACTGTTCGTTATCTCCATATCCTTCATTCGATCAGAATTTAAATCGATATAAAATCGAAGAATGTATAAAACAATTTTCAACAATATCGATTTAAGTCAAAATAATATGCAGTTAAATGGGCCCATATAATTTCTTTTCTTGAAATTACAACCTTTCCATGAGTCGTATTTCTTAACCTAATAATTGTATCATTTGTTCATACCAATTTTGATTAGAAATTATTTTGTGTACATGGTTAATACAAAAGTTTCAGAGCACAAATGCAAGGGAACATGGAATGTCTTCTACGTAAGACATATGATCCAACCTTTCAGAGATATTACTTTGTTAACGTTTCGTATTGTTTAGAGGAATTTTAAGCTTAATCAGAGTTCGTCATCTTTTTTTTTTTTTTGATCAATTATATTTCTGCATTCTTTGGTGGCATATCTATGCCATCCACATAATTTTTTGTCACCGACTTTATATCTTGTTCAGTCAAGATAACCAATCATATTTTATTGCAATAGTATGGTGGCATATTTATGCCATCCACATAATTTTTTGTCAACATAGCATATCCTGTCAAATCAAGATGACTATCTTGTCAAGTCATAATAACTTTCTGGTTTGTCATCAAACACCGATTTTAATCTTGTACAGTCAAGATAAGCTATCGTATTTTTGCGATAGCTATCTCGACAAAAAGAGATAATTTATCTTGTTTAGCGACTAAGTTATCTCGTCTTGTCAAGATAGCTATTGCAACAAAATGTGATAGCTTATCTTGACTGGACAAGATAAAAAGTCGGTGTTTGTCAGCAAACCTGAAAGTTATCATGACTTGAAATGATATGCTATGTTAACGAAATATTATATGGATGGCATAAATATGCCACCATACAATAGCTATCTTGACACGACAAGATAACTTTTAGTCGCGATACAAGATAAATTATCTCTTTTTTGTCGAGATAACTATCGCAAAAATACGATAGCTTATCTTGACTGTTCAAGATAAAAGTCGATGTTTGACGACAAACCTGAAAGTTTTCATCACTTGACGAGATAGTTGTCTTGACTTGACATGATATGCTATGTTTACAAAAAATTATATGTATTGCATAAATATGCCGCCATAGCATTCGTATTCGACATCTTCTACTATTAAAATAGCAAAATCATAATTACCGGTATTACATGAAACTTGTTTGTCAATAAATACTGCTGAATAAGTAAGGGACGTTGACCATTGAAAAATTAAAGTCATCACGTTTATCATAGAGCTTGGTTGTTAGGTTACCATAAACGTCTCTTTCATGTAAATACCCAAGTAAGATACAAATGTGTCAGACTTTGTGGCATCTGAAAGTTTCATTTCAAACTCACTAGAAATACTTTAATCAGTTATTAGAAACTTATCCACTCACTATGGATCTCTGTTTTAATCTTAGGACAGAACTAATATTCCTTCACAGATATTATCAAACTAAAACATTACTAGTATTACATCTACAATAAGCGGGACAGTTCTGGTTTCCACTGTTATTTTCCGAAAATGACAGGAACCACATGGCGGTGTGACCGTTAGGGGATGCTCATCCCTTCATGGAACCTGACCCCACCTCCTCTGATGTTTTAGAGGCCCGTGTTTGCTCTTCTCTTTTATTGAATAGACTTTTGAGGTTGAATACTGTTCCTTTTAATTACCTTCATATTTTTAATGTAGGAAGCTAAACTTTTAAAAGAAATACTTTTGATACTTGTTGAATTTTAATTGTTAAAAGTAGGTAAGTTTCTTTAGATTAAATTAGTTTTCCTCGTAGACAACTAAAAGAAGATTTAGGAATGCCTTATCTATCAAGTCCAACTTTATAATGACAGAAACTCATTTCTACTCATTGCCTCTTTCGATTTCTCTTGAATGTGTTTTCATAAAACAAATACGTAAAATATTGTGTATTGTGTAAAAGACATGTTCCCTTGAATTAAAGTCTAAATCTACAATTTTGACGTGTGAAGATGTGGAGATAACAAACAGTATTTGAGACCAAAAGTTCATCAAAACATTACAAAATAGGCGCAGAACAAACACAGACTTCCTAATCATTAGAGGTTTGATCAGGTACCATGGAGGAATGAACATCCCCTGCCGACCGTTCACACCCGCCGTGTGCGCTTGTTATTATTTGGAAATAACAAAAATCTGTGTTTATTAAATGATGACTTTACAATCAGTATGAAAAAAGTATTCAGCATTTGACTTACATATTTTTATGCTAACATGTATTATTTTTCGATTTTTAAAAATATATTTTAAATAATTGTTCAATTTTGCTTCATCAAAAGTTGGTCAAGTTTTGTTTTAAAAATTGTTCATACGTAGACAACTTACAGAATCACTAAAGAATACCTCCGTATACGTGTATACGGTATATTGATGCATTAGAAAGGCAAGTTGACGATTGAAAAGTTAAAGTTTTCGTGTTTATCACAAAACCTTGTTCTTTGACAGCCATTAACGACGTCTTTTTGTAAAAATATCAAAATATGAAGAAGTTGTATCTGATAAAACAATTTCATGTATAATATAAAAAAAAATGTGCCTTGGGTAGAAAAACGTTAGCAAGGCAAATTAAAGTCGTGGGATTTCTGCAAATTTTGTGCATTTAAAATGTGGAGATAACAAACAGTGTTCAAGCTCAAAAGTCCATTAAAACATTACAAAATAGGAGTAGGGCAAACAGACTTCCTAAACATCAGAGGTTCGATCAAGTGCCATGGAGGAGTGGGCATCCCTTGTAGAGTATCATATAATCTAGGTGCCAAAAAATTCCAATAATCATGTTATTAATGTGATTAATTGTGAGGGTATCTACTTCAAAACTGCATCATGTACCCTTCATTCAAATGTCATCGATATTAAGTCGTATATAGTTCCAAGGCAATTTGACGATTGAAAAGTTAAAGACTTCATGTTTATCAGAAACATTGTTCGTTGATAACCATTAACGCCTTTTCTAGTAAAAATATCCAAATATGAAACAGTTGTGCCTGACTCTGTGGTTTCTTTAATTTCAAGTTCATCGGGATATATCGAGTCGACATAAGAATGAAAAAATCAAGTATTGTTAATTAACAATACGTCGTCGATATATCTAAAGCTACAGCAGGTTATTGTAATTCTCTAAACGAGGTCAAAATGATGGCATGGAAAACGGACTTTTCGTTATGTCTTGATCAAATCTTTTAATCAATATGGAATCTATGGTCCAATTGTAATTAGGAAAAAAACGTGTTTGAAAAGTACTTACAAATTCTTCCCTTCCTTATTACTGTAGATTTAACACTATTCGAATAGCTTTAGAGCAAGTTATATATTTTTTTTGGTTTGATCCTATTTTGCACACACAAATAATTATAGACACAATTTACTCCCTTTTGGAACAAAGACAAACAAATTGTAGACGCCACAGGAAAAATTTAATGATCCAGTTTTTAAAAAAGAATAATATTGCTTGAACAAATCGCTACAAAATAAAATAATATATTTATATACAGCACAATAAAAAATAACAATATATACAAAATACAATTCACTTTCCCTGAATTGCTACGTATCACATAAGGATTTTCAAAACAAAAATAGATATTTACATTTTCATCTGACATGTAGAATTATGCATCAGAAAATATGGTCAAATTTGCAATACTTATACAAATTTAACAATAAGCGAAGTAAACAATATCAATCTAAAAAAAAGTTTTACCCAGTAAACAAATGTCATACGACTACATATTTGTTCAGTAAATTTTTCTAAAAACTTTTATAATTAGGCGATATTTTTCAATCAAATCGTTCAAATCACAGAACATGGCATAATATGATTCATAAATCCCAAGAACAGACCGGAAATTTCAATCTCGACAGGGATTCAACTACATATGTATTACACTTCACTTCATCACTGTCATTTTCCTAATGCTGTTTAATTTAGTCTTTGATTGTTCTTATGTCATGATATGAACAAATGCTTTTTTCATGAAAATATTGAATGCAATTTGACAATAATAAATTAATTCAAAATGCTATTTAAAATAAACTTATGTACAGATGAAATGTATAACATGGTTAATGAAAATGCATTTAAACCAACAAATTACGACACAATGTATTTTTTGAATGAGGTATGCAAGAAAAAGGACTAAAATCATCCTTAAAAATACCCTATGTCTGCTGTTTCTGCCTAAATGTGTCCAGTAATAATGTTGAGATTGTGTTAGCGTTCATGGCATTTACTGTTGACATATTCACACCCAACAATTCCGCCATTCCTTTACTGTCCATACCGGAAGCAGCAAACACCTTGAAAAAGTCAATCTCCTTCCCGTTATACTGGTTCCGGAAGGTGGGACAAAAGCTATTGCACCACTGAGGTAGGGGGCACTGTTCTATCAGATGATGGCTGCAGTTACTGACATTCTTAGCTGATCGCTGCGACCTGTTCTTTTTTCTATTTTCTATAAATTGAAAGAAAATTAAAAAAAAAAATGAAAGAAGACTTCCTATTGTGTACAACAAAAGGTCGATTCTATAGAAGAAAAAATGACTGAAAAAACTTTCATATTTTATGTGAAAACTCAAAGTTTGAAATCATTTCAAATAAAGTCTCTTTCTGTTTTCTACATTAACAAGAAACACTCCTTACTTCCTTTTCCCTTTCTCTTCTTCTTTCTATTCTTTCTTTTATTTTTCTTGTTTTTCCTATTTTTATTTTTTCGGTTCCTGTTCTTCCTTCGTCGTCGTCTTCTCTTTTTATCTTTCTTCCTCTTCTTCTTTTTCTTTCGCTGGGATTTTTTGTTCTGTTTTTTAACTTTGACAGGAGCATCGCCATATGGACGTATAAGTTTAACACTGAAAATACAGTTTATCTTTCTGTTAGTTTTAGAAATTGAATAAACCTTAATAAAAATTGCGTTTTGTTGGAGTTATTTCTATAATTTGGTCACTTCTTACAAATTTGAAAGTAGAAATTGAAACTTCATGAAAGTTAGTTGCCTTGTTTTATACCTTGTGCTTCCATTTGTGGCAGTTATACATTTCTCTCCTTCGAAGCTGTTTTCCCAGCAGTAGATTGACTGAGACAGGGATATTCCTTTCACGGATATAGAATGCCAACTCCTGTGGACGGTAAAAAACAATAAAAATAACTTATTGCAGTATACATTTGAATAAAATGGGTATTGTTTTACGTGTATGTACGATGAAATCAATTCTTTTGGTAACTTTGATCTTACTTTTTGAGTAAAACTTCATGAGACAGGCAAGCTGGCGCAAATACTGCCCTGTAACAAAGGAACAATCATTTTCTTGAAATATATTACAATAAAACAAAGAAACAACCTAAAACAAAATTCAGCTTTTAGGGTTAACATGAGAGTGAAAATGATAAATTATACTCTACAATAATAATTGCTGGTTTTGAGGTCAATACAATGTTTTAGACAACTAAAGAACACAATATTCACCAAGCCGGAAGTAATCAACTTACGTCACATTTTCAAGCGTCTGTTTGACTTTCTCCCCTAGCTTGTACAGATACTCCCACTGTTGCTTAGACAGAAGTTCGTTGCTTCCGTTATAGTTCATCAGTTTGTTTTGGTTTATAACATTGTTCGCTAATATTTGCGCTTCATCAAATAAGTATTGCACAATAAATACAGGAGCTGAAAGGAAAAAAAGATATTCATGTGTCAGTGAACCAGTAAAATTAATTCCTTACAAATTCTTTTAATCCAAAATTTTAATGGTACATATTCACCGTTGTAAGTGATAACAATGTGATAACTTTGTTTTAATATCTTTGTATTTCTTACTTTTTAATGTCGGATACATCCGGTATCCGAAGTAACATCGCCATTGTTCCTGGCCCGGATATTCCTTTTTACAGGCTTCCGGCACACGACCTCCCCACTGACTGTAACATAATGTTAAATATAAATATTATTACTCCACATTAGAATAAATAGTAATTTTTTGCATGCATCGAATTGATCGATATACGCTAATTAATTATTGATAAAATGGAAATGGGGAAATATATAAAAGAGGTCTAAGCCCTCGTTTTGTTCCGAATTCTCATGGTCAAGCTACAAGTTCTCCAATCACGAACATCAAAGGAAAACTTCAAATATCGGGTATCTAATTAAATAAGACCATCAATAGTGTATAGTTTTCATAAAGTCCTTTGAACCTAGAGCTGTAAACACTGGGTTATGTCCTAGTAAACAAAGGAACTGTTTGGGAGAAAAAACTGGAACATGTTAAAACGATCGGGATCGGAAAGATGAAAGCAGTTTGCACCTGACACAATTTAAGGGCGGGAATCAAGATTTAATTTAGTCTAAAATTGGAGGATATTTGTAAATCAAGCTCAATTCAATTACAGGCGAGGGAAAATAAAATAGAGTGTTAGAAATCCTTGTTTCATTTACTTCAAAGAAGTCATGATATGGACTTGTTGGATATGAGATATAAAGAAATATTCCTTATTTTCTTGATTTTTCGCAATTAGCTATTCACTTTCATAAAGCTAAAGCTAATGAACAAAATTTTTAATCGGGGTTGAGGCACAGAGTGCTTCCTTAATTTATATGCCATTCAGAGTATTATTGGTGTGAAGAAAACACAAAATCAAGAGTCCTTTCATCCCAACTGTTAAAGACAATATACAAATATACACAGCAGCTTTTCTGCAATTTCCCGATATTCTGTAATATTTAAAAATGCTCAGTTCGATTCATTAATTTTTGCCTTTATGCAAATTACAACTTTTTGATTACAATTTCATTACCTTTTCGGTTACTTATTGAAAACGGATAATAAAATAGTCCTACTGATATTGAACTCATATTCTTTAAGTGAATATCATCATTACAATGTTGGAGGAGGGGATGGGGCGGGGTTACTTACTCGAATCCCTTCCGTATCCCTGTGGTCGGGGAACAGGACAAAGGCTCTGTGCACGGCTTTTCGCTGAATTGTGGAATGTCTAAAAACCAACCAGAATCGGCTATCCCCCGAACCTCGACCCCGGGGGCCAATGTTTTCATGAGGTCTGCTACACGGTCAAGGTTCATTAAGACGCCCGTGCCACCAGCACTAAAGAAATCAAAGAGGTACATTTCATTATTTTAATAAGTGTATTAGTTTCTGTACATATTGCTGCATTATAATTTACGACCTTTATTTGATTTATGAATTTGAGTACAGTCCTAATTTGACAGCAAATATTATTCAAGATATTCTAGAATTTTTCAGTCCGTATAAGTCTTGTAAAATTAACCTACCTAGTTCCTGTTAAGAACAGCTTTTTCGCCTTAGCCAGGCCCCGTGGAATCAAATTTCGGATTACTTCCTCAATAATGTAGGAACCTAAAAAGGCATATCCGTGCCCTGCAACAAGGAATTCGCCATTTTATTTACAATTAATGTAGAAGCATTATCAGTTATTTTGACAAGTAATGGGCAATTATACGAAAATGTACACAGGACCGTAGTTTGCATAAGCCGTTTTATAATTTATCTTCTAAAAAATAACTGACATTTATTTACAAAATTAATATTATATAAGAAATTCTATTTTTACCGGATAAGAATTAGCCTCTTCGAACTTTTTTTTTATAATCATTTTCAACTATTTGAACTTTTCTTTGTCAAGATTGTACAGTATTAATTTACAATAGATTAAATACAATTAAGTAGACACAAATATGGCAATGGTTTTTTGAGACAGGAAATCTTTAATTTAGTTTTAAAATATTTCTGTCAAACGTTTTATAGTTCAACTCTGATCGAAGACTTAAAAAAGTATCTACGTTTGTCTTTCTTGCTATAAAACGTTCGTATATGTTACAACCCACGTCGAAAGAGAAAGTAGTAATCATCCTTTAAACTTTCACATTACACCGGAAGAGCAAGTTGTAAATTTCTTACCGTTTCTCGCAGTCCCTGTCCAAGAGTCACTAGAACAATACGGTACGTATCTAGAAATAAGAGTAGGATATCTCTTTTGTAAATGGACTTTCCATTTAATTATCGATACACATTTTTTTATTTTCTGCAATGCAAAAATAGCTATAAAATTGTAATTAATCTCTTTAATCTAACTCCAGTTCGTCCATATGTCGTTTTGTAAATTTTGAATTACCGGGTGGTAGTAAATACAAAATTTACAACATGACTTGACTGCCACCTGGTAACTTCAAAATTTACATGTACAACATAAAATGCTAACATTATTCCCAACCTATTATGTTATTGACAATACTTCACTTTATAGTACTCACACTATATTTGCATTGAAGTAATATGGATTTTCTTTGGGATCCCACGACAGAATTCCGCTACCTACAAAATATCAAAATATTGATAATATTCAAATTTTACCGAGGCTAATTCTGTTTGTTTTTATCAAACGAGATGTTAAGTAAAATATGTTTGATTAATTAATACATGTAAATACTTAGAATTTGCATTCATTTCAAAAAAATTTCGATTTTTTTTTTTAAAGTAAGGAGTACCAACATTACATCATCAGTCTGTTGCAACCAGGACATTAAACCAAATATTCATAATGTCATATCATCAAATGGAAAATTTTTCGATTATTTGGCGCCAATAAAAATGCTATTGCATTATGCTTTCGTCCTATCTAGAACAATTTCAAATATTTGATAAAATAAAACTGAAAGTTTGGGGGACTTTTCGATCCATGTCCATATTACGTGATCTGGATTCATGCATTCTAATGTGTCATCGCATCAAATATTTAAAACTGCTAAGTAGATAATGTATCTATATTTATATGAATTGAAGTTTTATGATCGGAATTAAGTGAGAGAGCTTTTTGCGGTTTATTAATGTGTCTCCGATTTGTAGGCGTGTATTCATCGGTCTAATTATGCGTCACCCTATCCTTTAATGGAGAACTTTCTTTTTTCGAAATATGCATCTGATGAATTTTTCTAATGTTTTCAATAAGTTTTTATACATATATTCTGATATTTGTTGGCCCATTTTTTCTCTACCCTGGGATTTCTTTTCTCAATTTTAATTAGTGTGTTAACTTTCCTCAAATCACTAACATGTACTTTTAAGTATTGCTTTAATAAAACTTTATATACATATATTTCATTGCAAGAGGACATCAGTAGGTATTGTAGGAAAATAAAGATACGTTGCATGATACAAAAAAAATAAGGCGAGTTAAAATATACTTTGTAAATGGGAAAGTTAATTTCAAAACTAAGGCTCTAGTTTTTTTTCCAAATTCAAGTGCATGGGGGTGGACATTTCTTTTTGATGAACTGAAAAATATATAATCGTAGTACACAAAAACATTGCTACAGAACGCATGCTCTGAAGAAGTTTATTCGGCAATTACAAGCAAAAGAACTACCAAGGACCTGATACAAACATGTACTTTCTTAATAAAGAAGAGACTCCAAATTCATTTGCACTTATTTTGTGGAGTAATTTACGTCATTTAGATAGCTAATTGTTGTGAAAGCAGATTTAGCGAGAGAAAAAACCCTAAATCTGCAACATGGTACAAGGGGCGTTTTTTCCCTTAGCAAGATAAGTTCCTGAAAATCAGGATTTCGTAAAAATAAAACCAGAGCCCATAAGTGTGTCTGAAGTTCAAACATAAAGAACGGCGACACATTTTAAACGACCCTATGTTCCTCTATTGGCCATGACGGCCGTGCCCTCTTAAACTTTTCTTCTGGTTTTCTTAATGACGTGGGTTAATTGTTTTTGTTATCTTGCATTGATTACGAAAAACGAAATCGCATGTGCTTGTCTTGTATGTACATTGGTCTCCGACCATATAGACCCTATTGTAACAACAGAAATTCCCCGATAGGCCAAAAAATATTTTTTACGACCATCCCGTCTCTAGCTGAAAACATTTGGCTACCGCGAATAAAACCAAGAGACAAATTCTTCACGGGGACCTATTGAAGGTTCCCTGTTGTCATAATTGGTTGGGAATCTTCTCTTACTGAGTTCAAGAATGGAGTAACACTTCAAGATATGCGGGGTTTTTTTTATCATGAACGTAGGTGGGATTTACATGTTTTCCGTATTGAGCTAAGCGACCTTTAATTAGGGTTAATCTATGTTGACTACTTGCTGAGATAAACGCTGCTTTAAGTTTATTTAAATTCACGTTTGGTGGTCTGCCCCTTACGAGATTAACGTTTTAACTTTTTTTCCCTAACTATTCTGCGTTCTTCAGTGCAAAGAGTGAGAACATTGTGTTATTTGGCGAGTAACAGGCCGCAATAAACTTCTCATTTCTAATGAACCAACACAAATGCGTCATCGAACATTTGAACAGAAAAAATTAAAAGTTCAAAACTATCACTAGTTTTCTTTTTTTAGGAACTTCCATCGACGTTAGCACGTAACTGAGGATTGACAACTTCATTACGGCACCGCAATACAAAAATAATCTTGTTTAAACTCCCCATTACGAGGGTTGAGTATTTACACAGAAGTTCTTAAAGATCATCAAGGGTTGACTTTTCTAATCCCTATTCTCAAAAACCCTTTATGAGTGATAATAGTATTGTTCGTCTAAGCTCTATCCAATCCTAACATATCCCCTAAATCGGCTAATCCAATCGCGGTCCCTTTGATCGCCGTCGACAGGTGTAGATTTGAGACGGTTTATTAGGCCTTCAAAGCTACCATAATCAAGTATTATTCCGTAAGTGGTACGTTGTTCCGAATGCCCCGGATTACATTCACGCCGGGATACTCACACATGACGAGAAATTATATAGAAAAATAAGACGGTATCACTGAAGACATTAATATCTTAGAGTAAACTTGTTATTGTTATCTTGAAACGGCGTCAAAATTACATAAAAATTATAATATTTATGTAATATTCCGACACACTACAAAGTCATATTAGGGCTAAACAAACAATCAAAATGTTTCAAATGTTTTTAAACCTATCTTGAGGAAACCAAATTATCGTTTCAATCCCGAGGTTATTTTTATGATTGTGTAACAGATTGATCGCGTTTTACTTGAGCTGCAGAACTGTAACACTCTGCTTGAATCAAATAAAGCAGAGATTCACTAGAGCTACAGTTCTGCAGCTACTTACCCGTTTTGAACTCTGGCCATCCTTTTGACGTCATATATTTCCTCATTTTGCTGCTCCATCGCAGCTCACAGCTAAATCTGTCGAAGCAGTACCAGCCTCCTGAAGTTAATTTATAAATCAAATTATACTATAATTTTTTCTGAAAAAAAAATATAAGATAAAAGGAATTGCCTTAAGGAATTTATATTTCCCTACCTTCTAAAAATATGATCCATTTTTTGCTGCCATGAGATTTTCTTAAATAATACCTGAAAAAAAAATGTATCATTATTAGAATTTTGTGATCAAATTGTTGAAACGTTTTCCCGAAAATGTAAAGCTTTAAAAGGAAAAAGAATTAAGATACATTATCAACCAAAGATCATTTTAATATTCAAAATGAATTTTAGTTTCTTTGATCTTGAAAATACTAATAAAAAACTCGGTTAAAAATTATTAACGAAGAAAACATCATCTACACATATTTTGAGATTTGAAGTTTCAATAATTTTTTATTTTAAAAACCTCTCCTTAAATTTCAATTTTTACCAAACTTGATAAATAAATCTTACTACTAGCATTTGTTTAAGAGGTCATAACTTCCTTTAAATTTTCAAACTTAAAATAATTGGACAGAAATATATTTTGTGAGGTAAAATATTTGTATGAATTTTATCCTCTTTACAAAGAAAATATCATAAATAATAAACTTCGAAGAATTCATGAAAATTCCTATTGAGAACTTCCAGAATTCGTTATCAACATAACATTGATTCCTCAACGCCCTAAGGTATCTAGAAGGGTCAAACACCGATATTGTGCAGTAGATCCTTATACTTAACCTTCACTGCGCTATTCGTAAAGTTGTTTATGAATGAAAAGTGAAAATACACGGCATGTTTACACGCACGTGTTTGCATTGCCGTCGATCAGCTGAAAATAAAGACTTTAAAATGCGGATAGAGAACTCTAAAGTCGTACTTGAGATGACAATTTAACCTCAGGGTGTAGTTGAAGAAAAGATGTGATGTATTAAAGTAGACGATGATTTATGAGCCTAGCTTCACAAGTATTTAACAAGTACATCGTTCAATGAAAAAAAAGATAGGCAAATTCGCACGACTCTAGAGAGCTCTTGAGTTTTTAAGTGTATGATATCTTAACAGTTATCAGATCTTTAGTTATAAGCTTTTGATTTCAAGCTAGAATCAAACGATTATTTCTAGGACCAAATCCGCGAAACGGGCAGATTAAAGGAGAAAAAGCCATTCTCTCTTCTGTGTTGTGCCTCAATATAGACTGTCTGACGTCTGTTGGTCCATTTGGGACCCCCTGGAGGATTTGGGGTCACTCAAATTCCGTAGAGACTATTCGTTTTTTCAAAACAAACAAAGCCTTGACGTCACCTGAGTGACTAGGAACCACCATTCCTTCTCTTGCGAGAACTAAGTGACGTCACAACTCTGATAAAATGGCGTCAGCTCGCCTTTGGGTAGATTGTAAAAGAGCAGGTCTCTTGGGACGTTAAAATGGTTTACAGCTCAAAGTTAGCAAATTTATTTCCCATCCTTTATCACTGAAAGTTCAATAGAAATTTTTTTTCATTGGGGAAGAAAATATGGTTTTTACAACCCCAATTTCGGATTTCCACCGAAAATTATAGCTACATTATTGATATGGTAACATTTTAACGAAACCAATAACAACCACTGATTCCTAACAATCCCATAAACTGATTGTGGAGATCTGTACCCTATTTTACTAATACAAGACAGTTTTTGATACTTGTTGACGTGGACTCAGCATGTCGTACTATTTCTTCGCGGCTTCAAAACTCCGATCCGAGAGGAGCGCACTAATTAGCGACTCTATTATCAGACTTCAAAGCCGCGCTATCTGACAAATTGTCTTCCTCCGCGTTTGAAGTAAATAACCTACTGTGACATACAAAATCTCCTCCTCTGTATTATATCCAAATCTAAGATAAATTTATTATTTCAAATGTAAGAAAATGATCTATTTTATAAATGAGAAACAACATTCTCTCTTTAAAATTTCTTGTAGTGTTGCTCTTTTTTTCTTTCTATGTTTTCGTTGATTTTAAAACATCAAAGAGAGCAGAATATCTATTTCTTATCGCTCTAAAAACCAGCCTCAAATCATTTGTAATGATTTTATCGTAGTTAACCATCGTCATAAAATTATTATTTCTGAATTACTGTGATAAACGGCGCTCATGGTATTTCTATTAAAAGAAGTTTTGTTTGAAGCTCTAGACCACATTATCGCCTGGAATGATTTATTGTTATACAGAAATAACACACGATCCATTGTTTTATCCCAGCTTTCGTTCTTATACTTAATCTTCCGTGTTTCTTATACCGTTCACATAAAAGCAGCCGTTTCGTCTTTGTTGTGTTCAAACATTTGCCAGATTCTGTTATTTCACTCAAGCGCTTGATGACCTTTTCGGCGGCAATTGCTTTGATGGTCGAAAGAGTTTATCAAAATTTCGACAAACAATTTGTTCCTATCTCGTATTTATTACTGAATATTGCCTTTTAATTGAAATTACAGGCGGCAATAAATTCTAGAAGAAAACGTGAAGATAATTTTTTTGTGATCAAGAGCCAATACACTATGAGAATTTTACAGGTAATTTAAAATAAAAAAAAAATTTATGTTTAAAAATATTTTTGCATTTACAACATATACAAAGCAAATCAATTTAAAAAAATCTTAATTCTCTCCATATTAAAGATTTCCTTTATAAATAGGAGAAAACTCATAAAAATATAACGTTAATTCATAAAAATCACCAAAAGAAATCTTCATAATCCTTTCACAATATCAAATGAAATATATATCAAGATATCAAAATTCAATAATTACGTACATAACAAAACAGACAAACTGAATAATCTTATTAGGCATGTATCACAACAGAAAAAAATAGCTATGAAGATTATAATCATTGATGATTTGTGGTCGTTTTATCCAACAATTCTTCTTTTCACTCCGTTTCAAGTAAATGTAGAGCAAAATTAAGAGCAGTAAGTAAATAAAAGTCAGTAGGCTCATAAAAGTCAACAGTACTATTAGTGCCTTTGTACTAAGAAAATAAGAGGTGAGGAGACCGCGCTATCTTTGATGCCAAACCCTGCGATTCTTCGCGCAAAACAGAGAAATCACTTTGAACTTTCTTACTCCCATCTAACTACATGTTTTACTTGGCTTGGTTTGTGAGCGAGGCTTAAACGCGGACATGAAAGAAGACATGGGCATATATCAGATCCGTGTTGGGTCTATTTGAAGTCATCGAATAATTGACATTCACCGTGTTTATCGCTGGGAGATGAAAGGTGTTTCGTAGGATAGAAAATAAACAGTGTTTTGAGAACAAAAGGCAGGTATTTACACCAACACGGTCTTAGAGCCAACGAATTAAACGAGAAATTTGTCAGTTGTGTTTGTTTGTTTTGCTTTCGTGCAGATTTTGTCTTTGAAATAAAACAATCGCTATTTCTCGCAAGGTGTTGATTAATATTAAATCTAAAGTGCGAAGAATTTCACTACCGGGTTGTTTTTGTGTTATAATCAATTGTAAATGACTTTTTTAAATTTAATTTCTCTCTAGACCTAACAGTACAAGTTAATATGCATCCCGCATTTAAGCCCCTGAAATATTTTGAAAGTAGACTCGATACTCCAAAGAAATATGTCAATGAGGACACAGTCTATAAAACAATCTTCGAAGGTCACCTTCGAAATTTTAAATTGATAAATCTGAAACATAAGCCAAATACCCTAATTTATATAAGCGAAAGAAGGATGTGTTCTTTGATAGCTGCAGATTAAAGATCAGAACTCTATGTAGACACCTGTGTTGTTTAAAAGAGATTAGAGAGTACCAGGTGTTTTGGAAAAACTGCAATTTTACCGACATTATACAAGGATTACAATATTCTACATTGTCCCTTTTCTACTTTATAATTTTAGAATTTGAGTCAGATCGAATTTCGTAATTACGTTCTTAGCTACTTAGCAGGATTATATAGGGTTTTGATAGCTTTATGAATGACCAAACGATATTGACTCTCGACTTAGGGGGGTGTATCCGAAAACTGCAATAGATGTCGTACAAAGGAGACGGTGTTTTCATAAATGCAACAAGTTGGAATTTTGAGTAATATGGGATCAGTTTCCAATGCCTTATTACTATTGATAATCAAAATCTTTTCTCCCATTTTTGCAACGCCTAGCAAGCATTGTATGTAATTTATTAGATTTATTTCATTATACAAAATCTCGATGAATGATGTAATTTTAAACACCGGACGCCAGATAACACCTTTAATTTAGACCGTGTATAGGTCCTTTCATCTTTTTTAATATAATATTCATTTTTATGAATGAGATTCTGAGCGAAATCTCGACTGTAAAAATAAATCTCCAACAGTAATCTCGTGATGAAGGGGAGACTCATTTCTCGTTTACTTCCTTTGTCGAAACTCCCGAAGAATCACTTTTCACTATGGTTCCCTATGACAGAACAGCAGAGCTCATGCCGACTCGCGCAGTTCGTTGCTAGTGAGACAACGATCTTTATAGCGTTCCAACAGCGAAGGAAATTAAACAAACAAATGTTTGTACACAAAAATATGAATGAAACACGAGTGTTATAGACAGATCAAAGGCAGAGATTTTTGGGTGAATATCTCGCAAACGGTTCGACTCGCGCCCCGCTCGAGGCCACGCGGACGGTGGGTAAACATTGATAAAGATGGCCCCCCTAACACGCTTTGATCGGATACTTATTTATCTATTAAGCTTTATCCAAAACCAACGATTTCATTTTTGAGGTATCTTTCTGAAGTTGAGGTGATGAAAGAAGCAGATTTTTACACTTCTACCTGTGCCTAGCGCTTTTTCAACTTGAGAAGAATTTGTGATCGTACCCTCTAAGCGGAAGTAAATGCAATGAAATTAAACGTCTTGTCTTTGCAACAATTTGCAATTACGCTCATCCGTAAAACTTTGTAAAGTACGTGGCCAAACACCAGAAATGTCAAAAATGTAAGCTATTTCACTGGACTTAATTCTTGCTTAAAGACAGCCGTTGCTCCTTGTACCATTACAATGAACTCTTGAAATATATGTATAGATAGGACAACACAACATGAGAAATATTTATCAGTGCTCTTCTGCATTGCAGACGATTGCCACACACAAATCGGTTAACCTGGAAGCTCTATGAAAGAATGTGTATACAAACATTTGAACCACCGAAGGACACTGCTGTTAAACTATGTAGCACTTAAACGTTGCTGCAATCGATAAGCGTATCACATTTGTTTATACTTCGTTCCAAATATTATTGTATAGTGTTATTTTTCAAGCTTCTTTTGCTAAATTTAATCGAGAAAAAAAATGTCTGAAATTCAAATGATGACGTCATATTGTCGTCTGCTGAGTTATGGTTGACTTACCCTGCACGAGACCCATCATTGCAAGTCACAGTTGTATTCCTGAGGTAGTGTCGGCGTAACTTTGGTATTTCTTTCACGCCGCAGTTGTGCGACTTTTGAGCAATGTTTTTCAAAGATTTCATAAGAGTATCTGTATTTCCTAAGCTCTCCAGTTTCTTGACATCCAGGGGCATATCTAACCGCCTGGCCATGCTTGACGCATCACAAATTGCACAAACCCAGATCGTTAATAAAAAATATATCTTCATCATTCTAATTTTTTTCACTTCATTAAAAAAAATTAAGATTTTATGGTAATGCTTTGAAGACTGTTAGTTCACTATATAAATTTTCCATGAAAAACGCCATGTCAAAAATGACGAGAAAACAACCCATTTGAGTAAGTTGTCATTGTACAAAAAAAGCGTTTATCAAGTAAAATTGAATATTTCCATGCTTATTAACTTCACAGATTTAGCGAGCAATGTGTCGTTTTATTGTAAGTTGCTGAAAACAATAGTGTCAAAGTTTCTTTCGTGATAAGGCCGTGCAAGTTAAAATCAGGTGGCATTTCTGTAAAATACCTGCACATATAATCCAATGTTAAATCTTCACTCTAATATAAATCCCTCTCTTTAGAATTTCTGTTACGTGAAGATTCTAAAGAATACAAAATCCAAAAACAGTCTCCATTTAAGATGTGATAAATAATGGACACCTCCAAAAACGCTGAGAAAAATCCAAAGAAATGTCGAATAGTCAAAGTTTAACACAAAATACTGTTTAGTTGTACTTCAGTAATCAAAGATGTTGAGACAAATCTTTCTGTCTCACTTCAAAGTAAAGATAAACGTTGATTTGCTCCTATTTTATTTTTCTACTCTAGTCCTTTGCCCGGTCACTTTCATACTATGTAAAACCCCGAGCGCAAGGTTTTTATACAAATAGTTTTTATTCGCCAGATCATTTGTCTCCTTTCATCTTTTATCTTATAAAGAAACGTTTATAATAAAATTACTACAATGAAAAACAAGTATTACTAAGGCACCTCCCCTCCCTTTGATTCTACCTGTCACTTTTATGAATATTCATGAGGTCGTTCTCTGATTCGTTCTGAAATCTGTCCAGTCCCACTTTTCTCATGTTATAAATCAGAAAACCACGATTAACCGCGATAGAAAACTTGTTGCACATGTGTTTTCTGTACCTTTCGGCAAGCATCAAAGAGACCGTGATCAGAGATGGACAAGGTGATTTTTTGTATCTCCTGTACATGGAGAGTATTGGAGAAACGCTTTTTATAACCCCAGAAAAGCGAGGCCATTTTTTAACCTTTAATGCTTGATTGTAACAGAACTTAACATTGTTAAACCGTGCCGTAATTATCGGGGCTATTAACGATTATGAATGAAAACGAACATTACACATGGCATTCACGAGCAGAAAGAATTCTCGCAAAGTTAGAATTATTTTAGTGAAACGATCGACGTGTCTACAAGCACAACTCGCACTGACTTTATTTTATGAAGAAAAGAACAAATTTCTGAATGGATTTATTGTTTTGTAGATATAAAGTTTCATTAAGGTGTGAATACCATTATAGTAGCATTATTTATATTTAATAGCAAAGGGGTATACCAAGTGTATTTTGATTGTGAATTTCTTTAATAAACTCCAGAGCGAGGCCCATGTCTCTCCATTTACAAAGTGGAATTCTCAATTTACCTCTCTCGTCGGCTAATGACTTTTCTCGCTTCCTTGCTCTTCGCACAGAAGCTTCAGCGAAAACACTAATAGCTCACTGTATTTGTCAATGAAATAATTATAGAGGTATTGTAACTTCAATCGATTTGATCAGTACTTAACGTGTTTAATCTAAACAGGTAAAAATTTATATACAACCTTACTCTGTGAAATCTAATTTAAAGGTCCTTCGACGACAAAATCGCCCGTCAATTCACAAAATACACAAAATGAACTAGTGAAAGGACGAGGTTATCCCTGTTGTAAGGTATTGGCGACGAAAAGTTTTGAGAAATATTAGATTAAAGTTTTATCTCGAATAAAGAATCAGAGACGACGCTGGGTCAGCGAGTGAATTTTAATCCATATATTGATGTTTTATGTTAGATCAAGGAAGAGGCCGCATGACTTCTAAGGGAATCATAATATTTGATATTTCAATTCGATTACTAGTCGTAATTGTTAGAGGTAAACAAAAATATAAACAGGAATTATAGAAATCAGATTAGCACTATATTAATATATTACACTTAGAGCGACTTTCCCTTAAAACGGTAAAAGAGAACAACATACAGTTTATATCAACAATATAAAAATTAATGCAGTAAGATATTTACAAACAAAAAGAAAGCCTACAAAAATTATGAACGGATTGAAAAGCCAAAATGAGTAGTATGGGATCCATCTACTTAACAAAATAACAGATAACTGAAAAATAGAGAGGAAAAGCAGAAGATGGTTGAACAAAGGAGAAAATTGCCTTTGGGGCAAGAAAATAAAATGTTGAATCTCAATTTTAACAAAAAAAAACTTTCCTTGGTCTTTCAGTAGACATTAATGTTTCTATTTTATATAAAATCTCCGAAATATCCAACAATCTGCAAAGATTAAAGCTGTTTATATATCAAAAAGTATTAAGATATAAAAGAGAATGAAATTGAATTAATTTATTCATATCTTAATACAATTTTTCTTTATTGGTTGTTGTCCGTTTTACATATTTTTGAAAGTTTATCTTATGAATATGTGAAGAATATGTTGATAAATTTTTGCTACACCAAAACAAATAGAAAGTATTCTCTCTATCTAAAACATTATTTTATGATAATGAAGGAAATGGAGATAAACGAACAGTATTCAATATCAAAGTCCATAAAACAATAAAATTCCTATCTTTCCGAAAAATATTTAATTCCAGTAGCTCAATTATAAATAATGAAATGCTGTATTTAGTGTAACTAATACTTTGTATATATAAAACTTGGGTTCAGATCCCAAGAATACGGTTATGTTTTTACCAATGAATAATTTTGTAGAGAGAATTTCTGCCAATTTTTTCAATAATTAAAATTTTGATCTAAATGTTTAGTTCACAAATTAAATTTTGAGTTTAAAACATTTGACGCTAGAGGCATATTGCAAATCTTTGTAAATATTAAAAGAAAAATCAATAAAAAGTTTAATACATTTATGTATTTCCTTGACAACTTGATCGCTTAGAATTTTTTTTTAATACTGTAAACTAGAAATTGAAAAATTTGCTCCTTTTCAAACTTGGAGTTATTCAAAATTTGAAAGTAAAAACAAAAACGAAATGTTGTTGACAGTGGACAAAAAAAAAATGCATCACGACGTTGCTATATACTTTGAATATCAAATGACTCTGGTATGCCGGTAGGTGATTTATTTGAAAAAAGAAAGAAAAGTAATTTTTAGTTGCTTATGTTATTAATGATGCATTTACCAGGCATTAAATTTCAAAGATGCTTTCGTGTCTTTTAAGCTTTGTCAAAGTGCGGTGAAAAGTCAGCCTTCTCTATAATAAAATTAATGACATTCCTTACCAAATAAATTTCTAAAAAGTCATATTTGTTTTAACCATTTCCTTTGGGTTATCAAAAACCTTGATACAGACGGAAAATGTGAAACAATTTATCATTTCAATCTTGCATAACACCCTTCTTTTTGTCACTTGAAACAAATTCTTTAAAAATTTCAAGAGATTTTTAGCCATAAAACTTGATATTATGACGAGCTGGTTAATTTCCGGTTTCTCTTTTTCTTCCCAAAATCTTGCACTAAACTCCTACCACATCTAAAGATGTCACAAGAATGTAAAAGGTCGTGATATCCTCACGAATCTATGTTATGCACCTAAAATCCTCTCTGCTTAGCTGTCTTCAACAACAAAGGATTTTTGCAATAAAAAATGCCAATTAAAGAATTCAGCAAAGTTTTCATAAAAAAAAAAACAAAGAGACAACAAGTACTACTGAGTGTGTCGATTGGGTGCCCATGAAACGTGAAGCCATCTGCAGATGCTATTACAATTAGGTAAAGATGCTTGTTTTCTCTAATTCAAGATAATATGGAGGTGAGTCGCCAAATTTTAAGTTTTCAGTCATTGCAAGCACTGTTAGTATAGATTTACATCTGTATGTGTATTAGTATATATTGTTATGTTTTATTCCAGATTAAGAAGTGATATTTGTTAAATGTTACAGTTTGTGCATGTTCTGTCAAATATAATGTTATGGCATTGGATAATAGGTTACTTATGGTTTTTAAATAAAATCTTATGCAAAATAAAGTACTAAGATAAGATGGTGAATAAAAAATGAACACTAGCAAAAAAAAAATTTTGATTTTATTCAGCATAATTATTGATCCTGATTGCTCTAAAACATGCATATATTAGTATACATGTACACTATTATATCAGTTATTCTAATGTCTGCCACAATTACTTCTTCTATATGTAATATGCCAATGTTCTCCGTAACTAAAAGGAAAATGCAGAGAAGAAATATTTGAGTCATCATAAATATGGTTTCCATATATGTCACAAATATAAAACATTTTTAAATGTTTTGTCTTGAACATATTTTTTTTGATAGAATTTAATATCATTGAAAACAATTTCTCTCAAATTAGAAATTCCTCTCCTCAAATATAACATTCACTTGCCTTGCAAAAAAGGCATATAAATATGTATAAATAATATGAATCTTCCATGAATGTACGAGTTGTAGCAAGCAAGATCAGTACATATCTGTTATAATAATTGAAAAACATGTTCAGATAAATATTAATTACACAGAATTTATTATTTTATTTTCATAAATAAATGTATTATAAAAAAATTCTAGTACTTTGTGTAAATGCATAATTGTGAAGAATAGCAATGAATATTCTCTGACCATTTATGGAAATCTGAGTAAGAATCAGTCATACAAGGAAATGTCATATTTTCTATCTAATTAGGGAGGACTCAGGTTTATTTGACTTACGTCATGATTCACAGATTTCCAAGATTTTCCATTCATAAACGGCTCTGTAAAGTAGATACAGTCACTTGGGCCTAAAAATGAAACGTTAACATTTTCAAACACCCATTGATATCTATTTTATAGCACATTCTTTTTCATTTGTAGCTAAGTCAAAGTTTATCAGAGATGCTGTTAAGTCCTCAAAGACCCCTAACAGACAAATAATCGGTAATAATGATTGTGTGAGGGCGGCATCAGGGAAAGATGAAACTCGAGATATTTTGTCTGATTTATCATATCAAATGCTTCAAGGAAAATGGCTTTGATGCAGACATAGTAAGTACATCATAGTCGTGCTCTTTGTGAAATTTGATTTCTTTTGTTTACAATTTATATGAAGCAAACAAATATGTTTTTTTTATAAATGATGATAAAAGTAAGGCTGGGTTAGTAATAATATATCCTTAGGATTTATTGTTGATTATTTGTGATACAATTTTTTATTTTGCGTTCAAAACACTGGTACACCTCATTCGCACGAAAACAACCCTTTAAATTAAAAAAAAAAGAATAACATAAAAAGAATATTTCACTATAAGTGTTTCTACATGAGAACGGAAAGCTTGTTGTATACTTCAATTTAACATTACAAAAGATGTATTAACAATGTATTGTCAATTAACAATCATTATGGTTTCTTTAATTCATATATTTATTCAATATATACCAAAACGAATGCTTGGGATTAAAAAAAACACATTCTGCCAAATCTGTTTCATCTCTGGATGTTTTACTTACTAAAGACATTAAAATCGAACTAATAATCAGATTTTATGACAATCAAGATGAATTCAATGTTTCCATCGTCATTTCTCTTTTTTGATGTAGTTACTGTAATATCTCACTTAAATGTTTTCTAAATCTCACAACTAATTCAATACTCAAGAGCTTGCTCCCTGTA